GCGTGGCGCTGGGGGATGTTCTGCGCATGCCATGGGCTAGGCGGCCGCAATCGTGCACTTGAAAGTTGTCGATTGGAACCATCGATCTAGCCATGGAGGGTGTGCACGCTTTGCCTGGCCAAGATCGTTGAATCTATCTCTACCACGCAGCTACACGCAACGCCTGCCGCCATCTACTTCTTGGACCAGCTGCTTGTTTTGTTTGCTTGGCCGCGCGATGTAACCAAACATCAAGCCACTCGAATGCCAACTTCCTTGGCGTGGAAGCGTACAGAAACAACACGTCGAACTCCACCGCCGCATCCACCGATGCTTTGGAGATCAAAGCCAATCAAAATTACGCAACTCCTCGACTCCAAATCGCAACGAAGCTGGCATGTCCAAGGATGCTCGGCCAAGGTGCTCAAGGTGCGGCGCTCCACGGCCACCTCACCATGGCACCTCATCCAGTGTCAACTCGGCAACTTGTCGTTTCAACTCCACGACGTGATGCGTCGACTTGCCAAACGACTCTGTCGTCGAGTGGCTCGGCGCGAATCGAAGCGAGGGGTGTTTCGAGAATGCTCTCAGTGGATGTCATGCAGTGCGTCGTGGGCCACGGAAGGGGCCAAAGTGTGGCGAAGCACACATGCGCGTGCATGCCGAACGGCCGTTCCTGTTGACACTGCACCACAGACACAGCACCGGTGGAGTCACAAGAAACGATGGTTCTTAACGCCTAACCACCGACAACGAATTACGCGCCGACGATGGCAAACGGGGCCGAGACCGGATTCGGCTTTTGCTTTTTGGTCGACGCTTGGACGAGGCTGTAGTCGAATTGGGGAAACTTGGCCGCGTTGGCCACGTACGACTGAGGAGCCCACGTCACGTCCAAGTTGTCGACGGTCAATTCCCACCCGCGCTGGTACTGCGCCAGTTGCTTTTCGTACGGGTAAAAGTAAAATCCGCAGTGGTCCGGGTCGTTCTCGCGCATCTCTTCGGGCACGGGCTGGATCATGTGCGCGACGTCCATGATTAGCATGGGCGGGAAGCACACGTCGTGGGAAGTCGCGCCGTCGGTCGCGTTGTACTCGAACACGCACAGCACGTTGAAGTGGTCGCCGACAGTCGTCAAGTTGCGCGTGAAGTACGTGAGGGCGGGGTCGCATTTCGTCTTGTCCAGGCATCGGAGCTTGAGCGGCGAGATCTGGCTGATCGCATCCAACCGCGTTTCTTCCGACAGGCACATGTCGTGCGTGGCGTTGGCAACGACAGATCGCGTCCCGGCACTCGCGACCGAGTGCGCATGGATGACGCCCGTGCTGCCTTGGCACGCATACCAGTTGTTCGGGTTGGCCGAGTTTGGACACGCCGCGCGTTCTTCAAATGCAGAGATCGTTTGCATCCAGTACCGGATGCTGTGGCTCCCGCGGGCGCGCTTGGGTCCGAGGGCAGGGTCGACGCCGTCCCACCACGAGTTTTTCAAGATGTACCCACCCGTCGCGCCGTCCTGCGTGCGGTAGTTGTCGTTGTAGCCGACCAGCGTCATCGCGTGGCCGCCTTCCAATTCCATGCCGTAGTGGGCAATGAATTCACCGTCGATGTTGGAGTCGACGCCTTCGCCGACCGGGATGCAGCATGCCGTTTGGAACGAATTGGGCGGGCATAGGGTGCACTGCGGCGACGCCACGTCGCACCGAGGGTCCTTGGTCAGCTCGCCCACGCACGGCTGGTAGTGCGTCAAGACAGCCATGTCTGTGCTCAGCGCCATGGCCCTATGCATCGACAGTGACGGGGTGGCAATTGATGATGATGCAGCCATCGAGGACACGCACCGCTTCTCCGTGACGAGCGCGCGCTTGATGTCGTCCGGGTCGATCATGGTCGAGTACTTGTTGACAGTAACCTTGAGAGGGTTCGACTTGTTTGCTGCCGCTGTTAGACCGGGGCACACGGTGTCGCTGCCGACATCCGGCACGTACGGGCAAACCGCATCGGGGAAAATCGAAATGTCCTTGGCCAAGAGCGGAAACTCGAGCACGAACCCGCCTTCCGTCGTGTTCTGGGTCGCCGTCAAGTAGCACTTGTTCTTATCGACGGACGTGCACAACCGCAGCACGTCGGCGCCGTACGCTTGCTCTGACAGCGACACGTACGTGTCAGGAGCGAGCCACCCGTTTGCAATGCCTTGTTGGCGGTATGTGTACTCGAGGACTGAAATCGTGGCAAAGTCCCAGCACGTCCCGCGGAAATCTTGCGTCTTGCGGGGTGTGACGTTGTCGACGGCGTATTTGTGCGGCAACGGCATGATGGGTTGTGTTGGCTTGACGGAAGCTGCCGTGCCCTTCACCGAGGACGGGTTGCTCAAGCCAATAATTCGATGGAGCGACACCGACGACCTATTGGCGTACGTACTCTTGTGAGCATATCACGACATTTGGCTGCCGTACATTTGCTGCTGCAAGGACGCCAACGAGGCCGCTTGCTGGTTCATCATGCTGTGCAACGTGGCGCAGTACCCGACACCCATCACGGTGAGCGTCGCGCCGACCGCCACGCGCTTCCACGACGACTCGTGCGATTTGCGGGTAACCAGGACGTTGGTCTTGAGCTCTGGTGACAGACATTGAGGGGCCGTTGTCTCGCGCGGTCCAGCACGTACCTCGGGATTCAGAGCCGTACATGGTGGTGGTAAACAAAAAGCGGTCGATGCGCAAAGGATGGAGGGGATTCCAAACTGACTGACGCCTGCCCAGGATTGCCACCAGATTTGGCGATTGCTCATCGTCAACTCGAGCCTCAACCACATGCTTGAACTCGAATGACCACCTCGAAAGACACTCATACGAAAACGTAGGTTAAACATGCATTCTGTCGGACGGCACTCCACCTTACAACCGGTACGATATTTTGTACGTTTACGTCCGATTCATCCAAATATCAGTATGTGCAAAATGTACAAGGAGTACGTTCAACTCAATGTTCGTACTGTGGTGACAGAATATCTGAGAATTTTCTCACCCGACTGGGAGGGGGGCTTACACAACCCCACGAAACTTAAAGACCGCCTCCACTAGCGCTGTGGTGAGCACGGGGAAGACGGGGATGGCTTGGACAATAGCTTTTCTACCTGCATGGTAAGTTGCGGGCTGTGGCTCACACCTTGAGCCTACCGGGACGGCTCGCGAGAGTACATGGTAAATACATGTCAAGTTCGGAATGGGCTGGGGCATCTGACGTTCAAGATCGGAATTGCCCGCGGGGGTACAAAATGTCAGTTTCCACGCCAATATTTGGCTGTATTTGAAAATATATCTATTGAACAATAGCTGGTTGGAAACTTTTATGTACGATGACTCGGTGAGATATTTGACACGCAACGAAACCGCCGATGTAACCCCCGCTTCGTTGACATGGTGACGGGTGGCGTGATATGTTACAGAATGCCGTTGAGTGAGAATTGTCGCGCCGAGTGGTTATCTAAGCAACATTGCACCAACATGACGCCTTGGAAGGTGTCTGAGGGTATCCGACATTGTGGCATTTAACAGCCCCCACGATGAAGACCTTCACTGGTGGCATTGCGTTGTGGTGGCTCTGTGCAGTCCATACCGTGACTAGTGACAACACCAATTGCGGCCACGATCACCTGATCGATCGCTTCCTGGTAACGCAGGGGTATTCCCCACTACTGGCTTGTACCAGATGCTCAAACGTGCATAGAACTCGATGGATCGTACCTCCATGTACAGCCATCAAGCATTGGCCGACGCGACACGAGACAAATACGACGTGCACAGAGCGCTGGTCGAAACAACGATGAAACCCCTTCGCATTGCGCTCGACCTGTCCAAGCTTCAATCGTAAGGCGATGGAATTCTCGACTTGTGTCACCAAACGGCTTCACGCCCCAGAGACCAAGGATTTGCGTGCACGCGTGTGGGTGAAGTCGTGCCTTTGGATGGAAATCGCTACAACTGCACGGCCAACGACATTCTGACAGAGGCACGTGCATTCGTTTTCCCATCGCGTAACCATTGCAAAATTCTTTAGGACAAACTCGACTTTATCACGTCGGTGCTCCTACCTGAAGCGCAAGACTACTTTAGCTCGATTTTATCTGTGCCCGCCGTCGCGACCCTCAAAGTAGCGCACGGCTAGCTCGACGTCCTTTGTGCTCATGGGAACAACATCCTGTATGTAGGTCCCGGGAATTCAATGCGGCAACCCAACCGACTGGGCGTGCTGCGCTGGCAATTTCCCGACGCGCTATGCGTCCCCTGGCACGGCCAATGCAGATTTTTTGCTGCATGTGACGTCGCGGCCAGTTGCAGCGGGGGTAGTTGCGTGGGCGATCCCATGCAACATCGACCAAGTGGGCCGTCCCGTTTCCGCTCAAGTCAATATCGGACCACAACGGTCTGTGTTTGCTTCAATGCGATGCGGGATTCTTATCCGACGTGCTACAGAATCAGCATCGACCCTGCAAAGCGCATGGCTCAGCTGGGCACCATCTTGCACGAACTCACGCATGCGCTGGGGTTTTCCCAGATGCTGTTTGGATCGTATAAACCTCGCAGCAGCCCCAAGATGATCCCGCTTCAAGTGTCTGACGGCCCAAATGGCACCAAAATCACGCATCTCGTCACCCCCAAGGTCAAGCAACTAGCCCAAGAGTATTTCGATTGCCCGAGCGTTCCAGGAGGCGAGCTTCAGAGCAACAATGCACAGTCGTACTCGAGCCACTGGGCCAAGCGACTCTTTCTCAACGGTACGGTTTGAATATGAGTTGGATGGTCCATGGCTGATGGCGGGGAAAGAGTACATGATGGCTACGAGCACGACGAACCCGATCTACTCGGCGTTCACGCTGGCAGCATTTGAGGACAGTGGGTGGTACCAAGTGAACTATGCGCGAGCGCAGGTGCTGTAGCGCCTATCGAATGCCTTGACTGCCCAAGTTATCATGGTGGTGTCGTGGCAGGACTTGCGCTATGGTCACTTGGCAGGGTGCGAGTTGGCCACGTAAGCCAACGCGGCGGAATTGGGTGGGATGTGCTCATGGAGGCACTAGGGGGAGGTGCACCGACTGGAAAGCTCCATTGTGCTACAGTTCGTCCAGCCAAGACTGCACCCCTGATTACACTAGCAAAGGGATTTGCAATCTCGCGACTCTTACGTCGCCGATCCCTCCAGCGTTCCAGTTCTTCAGCAGCCCGGTTATTGGTATGTAGCCATCGTCGCCACAACTGTGTTCGATCCGAAAACTGACGGCAGAGTCTCGACGTAGGGGGAACCGACGACAAGGCCAACTACTGCCCCCGCCATGTTCCCCTTAGTGGCATGGACTGCCGTGGGTTTGGCACCCTGGTACGAAGCAATTCGAACGGCAGCGGATGCACCTCATACGTGGCATGTAGCCGTCCGCTCGCGGGTCCGTCCTGGAAAAGATCGGGCTTACCAGCCTGTGCTTTCGAGGAGCTTTATCCAAAACGACTTCTTCGCCGTAAGCAACTCCCGTGATCAACTCCCATCGTCATGATGACGGCGGCAACGGTTAGCATGACAGCGTCGTACTGCTTTGCAATTCAAGGATGCACAGCCACAGCGCTGAAAGTTTTGGTCGGAGCGACAGTCGTGTTGTGCCCATTCAATCAATCGAGTGTTCAAGTGACCGTCAAGGATGACACAGGGGCGACTTTCCAAGGCACCATCGCGTACGGCATCGCGATCGCCAAAGAGCACGCCTGGACTGACGATGGCGATGTTTGCAGGTGCCCTCGCAACCCTCGCGACATGTGCAATGTCAATGTGTGCTCCAACATGGGCGTGTGGACATCCAAGGGGTGTGAGTGCTTGCCTGGGTACACTGGCGTTGACTGCTCGGAGCTCGAATGCCCTCGAAACAACGAAACCGACCAAGTGTGCTCGAACCAAGGCACGTGCGTGGGGGGAGCATGCCAGGTAACGAACGATACGCTCCATCCATATTCATCAACGATGGGCCGCTTTGGCGTCTGGCAGTGTTTTGAAGGCATTGCGTCTGGAGTCGCGTGCTCCCGCCCGCCCATCACGATGGCCAAGGCCGAGGCATGGATGGCCCCTCACCACCGTGCGCTTCTCCTTTGCGTAAGCTTTTGGATGGATCCGTTTACGTGGGTTGAACGAGCTTGCCCCATGTAGTGCATGAGTGTTGTGGCAGCTGGAGCGGCCACTGCCATCTTCAGGATGCGCTCGGCGAGGCGATCGTCGCAAGTGACGGAGGCACGGCAAACGAAGCGGCTGTACCTGCATGTACGTCCTGCTGCCCCCTTGCTAAAGTCGTCTGCCTTTGTGGGAATCGCTTACGGATTGTCACGACAGGGGGGTCACGGCAATGGTTCCTACGGCGCGATTCAGGAAACGTTGGTCCTTTCCATCGCCACCTAAAATTCTCCCGCTGTAACTCTCAATGGACATGTGCGTTTTTGGTGCAAAGGCACGGCTTTCCCGTCAAATGGTGGAGGGCCCTCAGCGGGGCAACGATTATCCCGTCTATTGTACGGTGATTCCACGGTGGAGCTCTCATGCCGTTCATGTGCGAAACCCACGTCGAGCATGCAACATGGCCATGCCAACCATCATGACGGCGTTCGCAGGAATGTCTCGCACCATGAAGAGCTGCATGGCTGCGTAATGCGCCTGGCCGCTTGCACAAGATCGAGTTTGCTGTGTGGGTTTGTGCTAGAGGAGGAAGAGTTTTGAGGTCAGCGAGCGACCCCTTCTCACAGCCTTCGCCCATGCTGACTTGGCATAGCAACGGCGGCCTTTCGTCGTCAGCACGCGCCGACATCTCGAGTCGACGGAGAAGGTCGCGTCCGATCCTCAAAGTTGTTAGTGCCGTCGACTTCGGAAATCACAAGAGAAATCACTGCATTGTTCTCGGAACGTCTTGTTGTACTCAAGCCGACCACGATCGCTCTGTTTCGACGATACCAACTCCAGTCGCTGAAGCAACGAGCTGGAACCCACACACGGTTCAACTCGAGCTCTCGACGATTCCATCCAAGCTCAACTCGAGAAGCAGGTGCCAGTTGGACCAACTTGATGAGGCGCAGCTACGAACGCAGCAACGTTGAGCCGTCAAATGCTTTGGGCTACCACCGCACAGCGGCCACAGCACCCAACGAAAACGGTGGCAGGCGGGCCCCCTTCCTCGACGCAATAGGTCTTGTGCTGAATCGAGCCAAGACAGTGGCATGCTAGTACTTCTTGGTGTCGATCCAAGCAAGTAGGGGTGATGAGCCCACTGCATCTGTGCCAAACGGGTGTGCTGTTTCAGAGCCCTTGCATGATCCTTGCAACCCTGAAACCTCGAACAAGTGGCCTGTCGACCACTTTCCCAAGCACGGCCTCAGGTAAAGCCTTGCGGCTGTGCTGGTGGTGTGCCAAGGATGGGCAATCTCGATTTGTTTGGATCGAGGCCGACTGAAGTCACCGACAACCATACGAGGATGTTGGATCTGCAGGACCGCCAGGGCAACGTACGTGCCATTCGGCGAAGCCTCCTCGACGTGGACCCACCTGTAACATATCAGACAACGAAGAGCTTCCGACGCCTTGTTCGGCAAAGTGTGCACATCCGTCGCAGCTGTCGAGGGCACAGAGTCGTCACGAGCGTAACTCGTCATGCTGACGACCGAGGGAACCGCCGTCGTTCCTGCGGTGGCTGCGGCCGCGGTGCCGACCAAGTCGGTGAAACTGCATGCGGCAGCATCCCACGGCGCAAATCGCTCAACACCCAACGACGATATTGGTGAAAAGGTGAAAGCTATCGACGCCTTATGTCTCGGAGTGATATCTAAAGTGGGGAGAGGAGGGAGTGCATGGAGGTCGTTGTAGCTCGGGAGGACGGGGGAGTGGAGTTTATGAGCTGGCGTCGCCGGGGCTCGACGAGTACTCGGGCTGCGGCTTCTTGCTGTCGTGGTACTCTCGGACACTTTGAAAGTACGGGTGGGCCATCGCTTCCTTGGCCGTCAGACGCTCCTGGTGGTCAAACTTGAGCAATCCGTCCAAAAAGTCCAGCGCATCGGCGGACACGAGGTGCTTGTTGTCGGGGGTGATAAACTTATCCCATGGCTTCTTCGAGTGCGTGCCGAGGATGCCGTCGTATTGCGGGTCCAGTTCCAGGTCGTACGTGGTGAGGTAGTCGAAGAGTTCTTCCGTCCCTTTCACTTTAGCAATTTTGACGAGTTGGTCGCAGTTGTCATGGCCATGGAAAAACGGTTCCTTCTTGAAGATCATGCCCGCGAGCACGCACCCGACACTCCACATGTCGAGCGAGTAGTCGTATTCTTGCATATCCACCAGCAGTTCCGGGCCCTTGAAGTAGCGGCTCGCCACACGCACATTGTACTCTCGGTTCGGATGGTAAAACTCGGCTAGCCCAAAATCGATGAGCCGCAGCTGGCGCTTCTCGTGGTCAATCATGACGTTGTGCGGCTTCACATCTCGGTGCATGATGCCATTGGAGTGGCAAAAGTCCAATGCCTTCAACAACTCAAAAATGTAGTACCGAATGTCAAAGTCCGTCAGCGTCGGGTACAGCGTCTTGAAGTCGGCGTTGTTGATGTACTCGAATACCAACGACGGTGTCTTCGACTGCGGGTCGCGCACGACGTCCAGAAGCTGGACAATATTCGTTCCGCCGCTAAGGTTTTGCAGGATCTTGATCTCGCGCTTGATCTTCTTCTTCTTGACGGGCTTGAGGATTTTGATGACACATTTGCTGCCGTTTGCGGCATTCACACCTTCAAACACTTCGCTGTACTTGCCGCGACCGATCTTGCGGCACACTTCGTACGAGTCCTGGTCCCCCCAGCTCACGTTCAAGTTCTCGTAGTCCCAATACTCACGAGGACGCGACTCGCATACGTCGGCGTACACTCGGGCGCGGGACATCTCGTCGGTCGATATTGGATGGTGGGGTACTTGGTGGGGAAGAATAGCCCATTTATGTTCGATCCGTCACGGGTCTTATCCGGATATTCCGACTCGGACATAATGGGAGGGGTTTCGGGGTTTCTCCGTTTGATGCCAGCGCCACGTCATTCGATGACATGGCCGGGCCCTCAGGCGGCCTCGCGCCTTCCTTGTTGAACGAAGGTCGGGCAGGTTCATCCAGTAAGCGTTGGTATGTCATGAATGTCATATTCAAACACTTGAATCCATAAAACGAACACTCAGGTGGAAGGGAACGCTGTCGATCTCTTTAGCATCGAGGAGTTAGTCGACATGGCGCTGTCTCTGTGGGCAAAGAACGCCATTCCACGCGCCGTGCAGTGCGCACAGTGCTCACCTGCACGTGCGACTAGAATCACAATGACTGACTAATCATGGCGTCGAGTTTATTCTGTGTATTTCTTGGAGCTATCCCGACGCTTCTTGGCTTTCGAGACTTGCTCGTGGCCTTTGGACACACTCGGACATGACTTGGACGCAGCAAGACCTGGCCGCTTGCCTTTCAGCTTGACCTGTCGTTCCTCTTCCTAGTTATTCGCCATGCATGCCAAACACGATGACCATGCGCAACCATGCAATGGCTCGAACCTCTTGTCGGCGGGTGCGAAGCAAAATGAGTTTGCGCTGGCTGGCCTGCAATGGTGTGTGGGTCTGCAGCATGTCATTGTGCATAAATCGACAAAACCCGCAAGTGCAAGGCTTACCTGGTTTACCTTTTGACGCAGCAGGCCCAACTCGGCGGTCGGATACACGCCTGCACGTTAGCAGTCAGAGCTCCATGCGAATCATCGAATGCATACCCAATGCCACAAGCATCCTGACTTCGTCAGTCGCGGCGCGCTCTACTTGCAGCACTTGTTCGAGCATTTCTATTTCGTCGAACGCTTCGTTCGTGGCGGCATCTCTGCCTGGAGAATCGATCCGAGCGGCGATTGCTCCAGCGACGTCGGCAAGTAGCGCACGATTCGATCCGTCGGCCGCCACTTTGTCCAAAAACGTCTCCAACGTCGTTCGAAGTTGCTGGTTCAGGAGTTCCTGTCGATGACCAGGGACCCGTCAAACAACTGACGGGGTGCTCGACCGTCATGCGGGTCGAAATGCCAGCCAAATACCTCGAGCAGCGAACTCGAGTGTTTGATTTGACGGATTTCCATCGCCGGGGCCATGGCCGTGGCGGCAGGACACTGACGGCTGGCACTACCTAAAACCTGGACTCGTTCTTCCGGTGTCAGCATCGCCTACAGTCACTCGTGCTTGAGGAAATGTCCGTCCAACATCAGCTACAGTACCTCGAGGCGAGCGTGGGAATCGCAAAGCCGCGTCGTCCCGACTGTTGCCTCATCCAAGCACGATCGCCAGCTGCAAAACGTGCCCAGCACGGACGACGGTGGAGCTTTGGGACGTGAAGTCTGCAAAGGGGCGGGCACAGCTTGTGTCGTGTATTGAACCACGAGCATCGATGGATCGTCTGAAGGAGAGCTGACGGATGCAGGCGCGGGCCGCAAAAAACCAGGATTCTCAACGACGCAATACGATGCGTCGGATCCGAAACTTGGCCGGTAGAGCGAAAACAAGCTCGCCATGCCACCGTCCGCCATCACCTGCATCGACCTCCCATCGGAATACACCACTTGGCGGAAACAGCATAGAGCTCGGGCCACGTACCTTGGGATCTCGAATGACGTACGTCGAGATGAGCACTCGCATCGCGTCAGCGGATATCGGGTAAAGAATGCTCTCGAGGAGGGGATTTCGGCGGCTAGAGGCCGACGTCGACGGCCGCCCACGTGGAGTCGACGTTGGCGCCGACTGTCGGGTGGCGGGCACAGCCACATACAAGTGTTGCAGCGTGTGCAGCGCAAACGTTTCTGGCGGATATCGCAGGTGAAGGTTCATTTGAGACTCGGGGGCGAGCATCTGGGCCATGTCGGTGAATGTTGCCGACTGGATCAAGTGCGACACATTTGCAGGGGCAAAATGCAGCGACTCGACTCCTTCGTCGACACTGTCGGGGCCATTGGTGGTAGGAGCGGATTGGCGTCTGCCCATTGCATCCAGAGGGATTGCACGCACAACATGATCGTGGGGAAAGACGTGATCGACTTGAAACGGACCGGCAGAGTCTGCTGGTGTCCCGGACAGCGAGGGGACGTATCGAGCGGCGAGTGCTTCCGTTCGGGCAACCGCCGCGTTTTGCTGGAGGTTGGGCGAGGCGATGCGAGCGAGCGAGAGGGACACGTGTGTTTTGTTCCCACATCCATCGCTCGGCCGGGCTTGCAAATCGTTGAGGCAGTAGTAGATGCATCCGTTAGTTGGCACTTGCAACGCCCTTCAGCGACAGAACAATCGAGTGACGAAGGTGCGCCGCGAAGACAGCACGACGACCTACCCGTGGGCAACTTGGGGAAGCCATCGAATAGTGGACGAGCTCAACGGAGTGGTGCAAGTGAATCCGTCGGGGAAGAGCGATGGCTGGACGGTCTTCAACTTGCCTTTGGACTTTGGCCGCTTTAGATGTCGGGCAGATGCGATCTCAAGCAAGTCATACAGAGCCTCGTATTGCGTCGACATGCGGTCACTTGGTTCGGGGCCGTCCAGCGGCTGTCGGTGCCGTGGCACTATGATATGGGTCTTGTTGTCTACAACATGGACGGGCGATCACGACCGACGTGGTTGGAGCGATGCCACCAATGGAGATCAGCGTCGTACGGGCGTTTGACGGCCATTTCGATGGGCTAGCGTGGCTCGATTTGACGGCCAAAATTCGCGTGATAGATAGCTCGGGGGAAGCTAATGTGGCTGGCGCTAGAGGCAAGTCCAAGTGCTTGGACAAGAATGGGGCGAGGGCCGACACCCACGACTGAAAGACAGGATTTTCCACATACGTCGCATTCGTGGTGAGCACCTTGGGCGGCACATCGACCACGGATGTGATGTTAAAGAACTCTTCGCACCGCTTCGAGAAGATGGCCCATGCGTGGTTGAGCTCGCAAGTTGCTGTCTAAGCCAGAGTCACTTTAGCGGTGTCGGGGCAACCATGCATGCTGCAACCATCAAGTCGACGCTCGTCTCCTGGGTTTCCACTCGCTGCTGCGCCCTTGCAATAGCTTTTTGAATCTCGCCGAGGCATTCAAAGAGCAGCACTTGCAACCTCCGCAAGGCTACAGCTTGCAAACTGGCAACGCGGTGGTCCATGGCGGCAACCTGCATATCGATGGCGTGTTTGACTTCTTCTGCATGGATATGCATTTGATCTCGACGCAATCGAATGTGTGCAAGTTGATTGTCCAGGATAACGCGGCGTCGCTGCCGTTCCTGCCGCAGTTGACTGACCCGCGCGACGCCATTGCGTTTGATCTCACTTTCCACCGCCTTGCGGACTCCTGGAAGTTTCCGAAGCGTCATGTACATCTCGTCTATCGACGGAAGCGGCTGCGGCGGTCCGCCGTCACTGCCAGCGCTGCGCAGGTCCTCGTGGAGCTTCGCGAATGTCTCAGAGAATGCATCCGAGTCCGCCACCGTCACGTAGATCATGAAGCGGTGCCAACCAGGATACTGTTTTCTGTCCCAGTGCACTACTAGTAGTACTACTAACATTTCTCAGGTTTGTACAGCCAGATATTATTTTGGCACGACCTTCACAGTTTTAATATTAATCAACTATTTAAAAGATGTATACATTTGACACAGCTCTCCAGCATTAAAAACCTTCTAGTAGTACTATGCTTATTGAAGCATGCTTTGAAGTACTTTATTATTAACGTACGTCATATGAATTTCATTTATGATTGACTTCGAAAGGACGGATCTTTCCTAGTTGTACTAGTGAGGTGCGGCCGTCACCAAGAAGGTCTTGACGAAGCATTCCCACCGATGTCACTTGCAAGAGTGTATACCAACGCATGTAGCTCGCAGCCGCAAGAGTACTGGGACTACGAGAGGTATGACGTGACCTGGGGCCATCAGGACGCGTTCGAGGTGTGTCGAAAGGTGGATCGAGGCAAGTACAGTGAAGTGTTTGAAGGCGTCCACGTCGCGAGCGGGAGTCGGTGCTGCATAAAGGTTCTCAAGCCCGTGAAGAAGAAGAAGATCAAGCGCGAGATTAAGATCCTACAGAACCTGCGGGGCGGCCCCAACATCGTGCAGTTCGTCGATGTAGTTTTCGACGAGCAATCCAATACCCCGTCGCTTGTGTTCGAATACATCAACAACAATAATTACAAGACGCTGTACCCGACGCTCAAGGATTTTGACGTTCGGTACTACATGTACGACCTGTTGAAGGCGCTGAACTTTTGCCACTCCAAGGGCATCATGCACCGCGACATCAAACCGCACAACGTCATGATCGACCACGATAAACGTCAGCTACGGCTCATCGACTTTGGACTTGCCGAGTTTTACCATCCCAACCAGGAGTACAACGTCCGTGTGGCGTCGCGATACTACAAAAGCCCGGAGCTGCTCGTGGGCATGCAGCTGTACGACTACTCGCTCGACATGTGGAGCGTCGGGTGTGTCCTAGCAGGAATGCTCTTCCAAAAGGATCCCTTCTTTCAGGGCACCGACAATTGCGACCAGCTCGTCAAGATAGCACAAGTCCTTGGCTCGGACGCGTTGCAGGACTATATTTTCAAGTACAAGTTGGAGCTCGATCCGCAGTACGACGATCTCGTCGATACATACGTGAAGAAGCCGTGGGAACAATTTATATCTCCTGCCAACAAGCACCTCGTGTCGACCGACGCGTTGGAAGTCTTGGATGGTTGCTCCGCGTGGACCATCAACAGCGCTTGACAGCCAAGGAAGCGATGGCCCACTCGTACTTTCAAAGCGTTCGAGAATACCACGACGAGGTGTCGGAACCGATGGCCGATATCGCAGTGACAGATAAATAGCCCCAACACGTGGAGTCGTAACGTTGCCACTCATGACGTGGCATGCTGAGCGAACGACACAATGTCTCACCGTTCATGGACATCCGTTCAAATAGTGGGAGGTGTGTGATTCATGCAGAGGAACTGACATCAACATAAGCGATGTGGTACAAAACACAAAGTAAGATGCAGCTCGTCCATTGTGTTGAATCGAACAAGTACACAATAGATTGCGTATCGGAAAAATCCTTCGCCTCTGACCCACGAAGCGATTGAGTTTGCAAATGTTGCAGCCAATGTGGATAGTTATTTAATTATGACGGTGAGATTATTCTTGTGGTCCACAACACGCCAAAACACAACTTTTCCGGATAACCTTGCCTCTGGCTTGCGATCCATGACATCCGGATATTGAGCTTATTGACACGCCTGGCATAAATACAGTCCTCTGGCGACGCGTCCACGAGTTCAAGGATGTCGGTGGCGAGTTGCCAGTGCGGTACTTGACCTCTCGTGGCGTGGCTTTATCGCGCGTGTGGTCTCTCGTGCCGGTGCGCTCGCCTCGTGAGGCGCTACTCACTTCGCGGGAACCGAGCACATGACTTTCGCACGGTGGCGGCGTGAAAAATAGAATGACAAGATTTTATTGTAATACAAAAAGCAAGACGATGTCGGCCAATAATGATAAAATATTTTCGAAGGCCCTTACGTGGATGGTGGGTCCAGCTTTTTGAGCGTTGGCTAATGTTGTAGGCGCCGTAACACCGCGGCACCGCCCTTGCTGTCTGTTTCCGACGGACGTATGTAGTGTCAAGTTGCTCGTTGACCGTCACACCACCACTACCTCGCGTAGTACACACCGCACCCCTCCAACATCATGGTCCTTCCCCGCCCATCGTCCTCGGGCCGCGATAGCAGCTGCCTCGAAACGATGCCATTGCCATTTATCGTAAGCTCCATTTCGAGCTGTCGCCAAGGATGCTGAGCGTTGTCGGCGTCGCACCGTAGGCGAGTAAAGTCGACCAGGTCGTTCAAGCGAGGCCAATGAAAACCACACCACTTCCGCGGGCAACCCCGCCCGCAGAGACCACCACACTGATCCACGCATTCCAGCGCACCGTCCAGCGGTATGGCTACCAGAAAGCCGTCCATGCCAAGTTTCAGGACAAGTGGCAGTCGCTGACGTGGCGCCAATACTATGCCCGCGTCCAAGAGTTCATGAAGAGTTTAATTCATGTCGGCGTCCAGCCGCACGACGTCGTGGCGATCTCCGGTCTCAACTCGATCGAGTGGAACGTCGCATACCTTGGCACAATCATGGCCGGAGCTGCCGCCACCGGTGCGTGATCCGCCGCTGTCCATCGAAATGCATGCCACGTTTTATCGAGCATATGCGAAAGCTGCGCAACCTTGATCCACATGCCATTTGCACATGGAGGTGTGCCACGATGGGTGTCTAATGGAATCTTGCCGTGGCAGGTATTTACGTCAACTCGTCACGGGACCTGAGCCATTTTATCGCACGGCACTCGGAGGCTCGCGTGATTGTATGCGACAGCATTGACAGCGTGGAAAAGTTTTTGGCCATCCAGCCGTCGTTGCCCAGCCTCAAAGCGATTGTCCTGTGGGGCCATGACGTCCCGTCCATTTACGCCGCGAACATGCCCGTATATGCCTGGAAACCATTCTTGGACCAAGGTGCGGCCACCTCGATTCAACCGGACTTGCCTGACGATGCATACGACTCATCCGGGCCTTGCTACACTGTTAGGCGCATCCATTACAAGAGGCACGGTCCAGCGGCGCATGAAAACCATTGTGGCTGGCCAGTGCGCGTCCATTGTGTACACTACCGGCACGACTGGCACCCCAAAAGGTGTGATGATCTCGCACGACAACTTGTGCTTCAACGCGTGGGCGTTCGATGCGGCCGCCGTCGATCGCGGAACACAGCTCTCGAATCGCGACGTTATCATATCGTACCTGCCGCTGGCACACGTGACGGCCCAGCTCATGGACATCGTGCTGCCTATTTGGGTGGGGTACGAAGTGTACTTTGCGCCGACCGTTCGTGGCCAGCGGCTTGGCCGCACGCTCAAGGAGATTCGCCCGACTCGGTTCTGCGGCATCCCGACCGTGTGGGATAAAATGGCCGAAAAGCTGCGGGAAGTCGAAGTCTCGACGTCCGGCCTGAAAAAACAGCTTGTTGCCTTCGCCACGTCGCGCGCGTGGAAGAAGACTGTGCAGAGCCAGTACGGGTGCAGCGGAGCCGCTCCATGCGGCGCTGGTATCGCAGAGAAGCTCGTGCTGTCGAAAGTCAAGGCCGCGCTTGGTCTGGACCGGTACGTGCCACCACTCGACCTGCCAACGACATGAAGTGAATCGCGGCCATGGGTAGATGCAAATCGTTCTCCGTGACGTCGGCGCCCATTCGCCATGAAACGAACGAGTACTATGGCGGGCTCGACATGCCCATCATGGCGTTTTTTGGGTCCTCCGAGACGGCCGGAATTGCCACGATGAATGTCCAGTACGGGTGGAAGCTCGCGACCGTCGGCCGGCCACTTCCAGGCACCGAGATGCGCATCCAAAAGTCGACGACCGAAGTCCAACTCCGCGGCCGCAACGTCATGATGGGGTAAGCCACGTCGTGTTGCCTTCATTGTGGACGGTGGTGGATGGATGCGGCGTTTGTCGAGAGGGAGCTAGCTACCTTGGAGAAAGCAAGCACATCTCCTAGATGCACGCGGGTGGAAATGGGGTCCTCCCTGGGAGTGGTGTGGCCGCGCGTGATTCGATTCCATGACGCTGACTGGTACGTTGTGCCTAGATATCTCAAAAACGAAGCCGAGACGCGACTCGTTCTCGACAGCGACGGGTGGCTCCGGTCAGGAGATGGCGGGGCTGTCGACGACGACGGGTTCATCTCGATCACGGGACCGCTGCGAGAGCTCGTCACGACGTCTGGCGGCGCCGTGATTGCCCCCGCGACGTTGGAATCCGTTTTGAAGCAATCGATTCCGATCCTGTCACACGCTGTTGTCATCGGCCAACAACGGGAGTTTCTTCTTGTGCTGTTTACCCTCCGCGTCGAAAACGATAGCGACGATCGACCCACCGACAAGCTGGACGCGACGGTGCTGGCATTCCTTCGCACCATTCGATCCACGGCAACCACGATAGCCCAAGCTCAAGCGTGCCCCAAGCTCCTCGTATACTTGGACGGCAAGCTCCGCGACGTAAACAAGGCCACAAGCAAACTCTCGTTTGGCAACTTTATTCAGAAATTTGTCATCCTACCGCGGGAATTCTCGGTAGAAGGCGGCGAGCTCACGCCGACACTCAAAGTCCGCCGCCACGCCGTTCAGGAGATCCATTCCACCCTCATTGAGTCGACGTATGCATAACTTAGGTAACAACACGGTCGTTGAAATAGCAATGGCGCTGGACATGTCGCGTGGGGATCTGCTGGCCTTGTCCGTGGGTCCAAGGACCGTCGATGGCGTCCATCCTCGGTCCTATGGACAGGATCTGTTGACGCAACGAATGAATGGATTCACCAAGGGATGGTAGCAGCCCATCGCCAGCCAGCTCTTGCATCATGCCCATGGTTGATGTACGCTTGCCCCATGGCAGTCTGTCGATGAAGACGACGACTTGGTAAAGGGCTACCCTCGATTTTGGGATGTCGTCCGCTAGGGAGCAGCCTTCCATGCACGTGCAGTCCGCTTCTCGATCTCCGACGCGTGGCTGTGTGAGGTCCATTTCAGTGATGCAACTAGGCTGGGTACCGCACCATCTAACCGAAGCAATGAGCACGTGGCGTACATGAATTCGCGATATATTTATTTGACCCACTGAAAATCCACGACCGCTTTTGGGCTTGGCAACACTTAGATGCGCTCGTATCCATGTTTGTGATGTCGTCGAAGGGCATGCACGACGGCGAAGACGCAGGCAACTAGCATCGTCAGGACGAGTAATGGCGACCGAGTAGTCGAAGTCTGAACAGCTGCATCGAGTGACCCCGTTGGCTCGGTCTCCACGAGTAGGCGGCGCATGTACTTGTTCAGAAACTTTCCGTGGGGGTCGACAGCTTTTTGCAGGGCGACGAACTCGTGGAACTTGGGATGCACTCGAGCCATGTCGTTGGCGGTAAAGTAGTTGGCTTTGCCGGTGTGGGGTCGGGCGCCGTACTTGGCCAACGCCGCTTGCATGCCCCGATGGTACCGGTCAATCTCAGGTTCGTACTTGCCGCGGTGATACACGATAGTCGACACGACGACGGTGCGGCGGCCGTAGAAGGGCGAGAGCCACAACTTGTCAGCGTTGACATAGCGAAACCCGAGGAAGAGCGGGACCTAAAGCAACGAGTCAGGACGTTCTGGGGCAAGACCATGGCTCTGGCCTACGGCCGGGTCGTGGAGCGGGGCCAGCGTCGCATGCAAAGCCAGCATATCACTCAGTGCGGCGGCGTCATCCTCCACGGGTAGCATCATTTCCATCTCGGTAAAGTAATTTGTGTTGTTTCGGCCATCGCGACCGAGGACTTTGTAGCTGTGGTCCACACACGCCTTGGTGTCGGCCGGCCATGCCGTCCAGTTGAGCGGCAGAGGCGTCACGGGTGTAGCCGTAAACACATTCGCCCAGCATCCCGTCGAGATCGGCGCCGTCGTATTCACGCGGAGGACAACAGTGACGGTCGAGTGGGTTGGCAGGCCAAGGAGATACCATTGCACGCGATCAAACGTCTATGGCACACCTGCGTCAGGAGGATGCGTTCGGGACACAAAATGGACGGCGGCTTAGACCATCCAATCATCTCTCTCCACAAGCTGACATGGTTTCGACGACAATCGTACCGCCAGCAAGGCCGCTCGGTGTGATTCGAACGTCGCCAACGGCAGCATGAACGTGATCTGCTCCATCGTCCACAGCGGGACATGACGAAACGTCAACGTGCTCACCGCCCCCAACGTCCCCATGCCAACGCGCGCTGCATCAAAGAAGTCTCCTGATGCGAGTGTAACCAACGACCCGTTCGCCAGCACCAGGTCCATGGCGACAATGTTGTCAGAGATGCACCCTGTGTTGCCCGTGCCATGGGTTCCCGTCTGGGTCACACCGGCTAGCATCAATATAGTGACATGACTATGTGCCGGCCACTCGTGCAGAGTGGTAATGTACCTGCAGTTTGAACAGCCACGGCACCGAGGTTGGGCAATGCGCGCCCGCGAGCTGCCAAGTAGTCGTTGATGGCATACAGAGGTCGACCTGCTTGGACCGTGATCGTGTCGTTGTCAAAAGACACAACTTTCGTGTACTTTTCAAGCGTCACCAGCGTGTGCTTTGTCAGCACGATAGGAGAGAAGGAGTGGCCAGCTCCCGCGACACGAATATGCGTCGCCGATTCAACAGCATGCTGCAACGCGGCCAACGTCGAAGGGGACACGTGCACTTGAGGGCGACATACTTGGCGTGTGTCCCAGTTCGACCAGATGTCTCCTTGGCTTTGTGAAGCTACTGTCAGCGCGCCCATGAGCGCCGCCATCGCCGCACGGCACCACATTACTCTTCAATTATACTACCGTATCCGGATATAATCCTTGCTGCTAGTACTGATGCATACTAGTAGTATGCGACTCAACACTCAAATCCATCATTTTATACTTAGATAAAGTATGCAGAAACAACCGATTCTAAGCACAATACTATGTAGTGCATGTAGTACACATTTCGAGAAACCGAAGTATTTCAGTTCTGTTGAATGTACGAATATTGCTCGCCTTGCTTGCCGCACAACAGCAAGGGAAAAATTGTCAATTCAGTTCATGTGCATATTGAAAACGTGCCCTGCTCCATTCGAAATACTACTTCGTTGCAGCGCAGCAATTGCTCGGAGATAGTGACTTTCCATTGAAGCCTCCTCGTTCACCAAAACAATATCACAAGTACGCCGTTAGTACTTACTTGAACCACTTAACTCTGTTTGATTGGATAAAATATAGGCAATTAGAATGCTCAGCCAATGAAAACCACGAAATCCCGATAGCTTGGGAAAAAGCCACGAAAGGGCACTTTGATGACACCATGACGTGTCACCATGGCTGCTGCCATCCTCATCCTCAGTAGCACTGGCTTAGCGACCGCGCTGTCATTTTTCTTTTCCTCGGCACTTCTGGTACTTCTCCTGGCTGCATGGACGACATGGCTCGGTGGCGGCTTTCTGTCCATGGCCGTCCTCGTTGCAAATTAGCGTCCGCGACTTCTGCTGCTGAGGCATCCAATTTACCCGTCCTTCGAATTCCAAACCTGAAGAGATGTTGGGTCCACAGGCAACATGCCACTAACCAACCCTCGTGCCTAATTCCCGTGGCATCTGGTACTTGCACGGCAACGACCACGCGCTGAGCTCGATGGACCACATCCAACTATTTGACGATGCCTACACCTTTACGACATACGAATCGCGCAATCGCGTGGCAAGTAAGCGAAGGCTGTGGCCACCGTTGGTGCATTCGACAATGCTGAAAAGAATTGTTTCCAAATGGAACTTGCAGTGGTTTCTTCGGCATTCACGAAGGCAGAAAGGACGAGAGCAAGGGCGTGAACGGCATTTTCTGCAGTCTGCCCTCGTCACAGATCCTCGTCGACATGTCAATTCGCTGGAAAGCATCGACCTCAGCGCTTGCGTGGCGGCGCAGTCCCTAGCAACTCGGCGCAGGCACACACGACAACCTGATGGGGATTTGGTAGCTCGATGAGCTTTCCCCCACGTACTCGCGAGATGCCAAGCCCCGAACCGCAAATGACACCGTGGTCTCTTTGCATAAACCGCCAGAGTCTAGCTAGAGACTTGAAAACTCCCCAGAAAGTCGTCAGGTGTGCCATCGTTCGTTCAATAAATAGTGTTTGGAGTGCGCTACACGAGGGTCTGCTGCTTGGCGTAGATGCTCTGGATGGCGCGTGCCACGTCCGTTTCGACAATGTCTTTCAAGTGGCAGACTTGCTGGAGCGGGGCGGTCACAGTTGGGGCGCTCTCCAACAAATCGCGAAGTTGCTGGATGAAACTCTCTTGTTCTTGGCCCAACGCCGCCCATTCGTGTCGCACCTGACGTCGCATCGATTCCACCTGTCCCGTGTCCATGGGATGCCCAGGGCTTGGAGAAGCGCTGTCGCCATCATTATTCGACTGCGGCCCAGTGGATTTCACCTGCAGTTGCACCTACGCATGAGCGTTGGACGCAGGTAGTCGTGAGCTTGGACAAGGAACGGTACCACACGACTGACAGCGTCTTGCAGCTGGCGCTGCATATCCTGCAAAACAGAATAGATCGTCCGCTGCACCGACTTCATTGTGTCCATTTCACGGGATAACACAAGCACCATCAACCTATACACCCCCGTGGCCGACAGCGTCTTCAGACCATCCAGGTACGTACTGAAGTCGCGCAGTCTGCCGCTCCAACTCGACAAGCACCTATAAGTCAGGTCAGTGCCAGCCACGGAATGTGAGCTATACTGCGTTGAGGCGTTCGAGATGCTGCTCTTGCCGAGTATACTTGGCAGGATAGTCCCCCACCACAAGCGACGACACCTTGGCCTCAGCCACAGCTTCCACTAAGGCCGGGAGAGTATGCTGCATCCATTGGGTGACCTCAAGCTCTTCGTCTGCTTCGAATTCGTTCCTAGACATCGCGTCATGACCACTCACGCCCAGCACGTGTGGCGTACTCTATGGACGTATTGAAGGAGGGCACGTCGTCGAGAGCAGCAAGGTTTGCATGGAGCCAATCGAACTCGACAGCGAAGAAGGCGTCGCGCCATTGATCCATTGTACGAGACCACGACGTTCCGTCGGTCTCTTCTCTGCCTTCTAGATATTCCTCGTTGGAAGCTATGGCATCCATCATCCACGTGACTGCATGCGACTGCATGGGCGACTCGGCAATGATCGAAAGTGCTCGCGGCGGCGACGAGCTCTGAAAGTATGGCATCACGTGAGCTTGAATGCTATCGAGGATCTTGTCCTCTTGTGCGCTCAGCGAGATGCATGCCGTGGGGCTCAGCGCGGCCAACTCCAGTGCATTCGATCCCTCGGCCAGCTGATGTCACCCAACGTGTCACTCGAGCGAGAAAAAACACGGCACACGTACATGATTCAGGATGTCGTCGATAGCTTCCAGACCGCTCGTGGGATCCGTGGAATACACAGTTCGAGGGCACAGTCGAGTTGCCTGGTCTTGGACCGTCTCGAGGTGCCTGCGCAAGACATGCACTTTACGTGTCTCCTTGGCATGCTGCTTCTCCAATCGTTCAATATCTGCAAGGAGTTGTGCTTCGTCGTCGTCGATGGATTGTGCAACTCCTTTGGCATGTAAATCGGTGCCTGTGGCGAGGGTTGTTGCCGCCAGCGTCGCTTGTTCTGCCGCCGAAAATTGTACTGCCAGCGATTGCTCCACCGCCAACACGTCAAGAAACCAATGCAGAAATGCGTGAACTCGCAACGATGGGGACTCGCATACGCCACGAAACATTTGCGGCGTTATATCCAGCGGGAAGCCCATCAACCGGAGCTTGTGACACAGTCTGTCCTCCATCGCAGCCGCCGCCGTCGGCTGCTGCAGATTTACCCGGAGGCAATGTGAAATCAACCGGATCCAGCCACCATATCCGGATATCGTGGGGTTATCCTGAACGAATATGGGAGGGAAATCGACATGGGACCCAACGGAGCCCCCCAGTCGTCGCCACAAGCCTCACGTGTTGGCGAGTGGTTTATGGCTCCGTAAGGACATAGGGGCGCGCCAGGTCGATGGGGTGCTTGGGCTTTAGGTGTTGTCGGTCGTGAAACCAATGTCGAAATACCCCCCTACACCGCAGGAATGCTGCGAAATGGAAAACCCCCGAGGATGGCAAGGGCTAGAAAGTTGCTATGCCCGACGTAAAGCGCGGAAGATCGAATAGTTGGCGGATGAATTCCAACAGATCAAGGAGATCTTGAAGAGCCATGACACGAAGAACCACCTCTTGCCCCCCTCCAATTTCACCGCCACATCAAACACCCCTCTCCACTTGGCCGAAGATTAAGCCGTCGCATGGAACACAGTCCCGTTGTACCATGTTGGCAAATCGACAACAGATATCGAGATGCAGGCGAAAACCACGTACGACGCCATGATCGTCAACACCACCACTGAAAACGACGACAACGAACGACGGCGACGATTGCAGCGCTATAGTGAACCCCGGAAAATGCCGACATGGTGTCCTCCTATAATGCATGGAGGCAGAATAAAATCAATCTATTTAAAATACGTGAATTAGTCGAACTTGATTGGTTATAACTCGAATAATTTCAGTCAGTCAATCGCAGTTCTTGTTTTATCTGCACTGCAATTGGTCAAAAGGAATAGCATTTCGGATTTGATATTAAAGTATACAGGTAGATATTCTATTAATACGATCATGTTTTGAGGGTAGTAGACTAGTTTAGGGTGTCGGCTTTGTAGGTGTTCCCTGTATTGTAGCTCGCCAACGCCTCGAGTTGTGCTCGCTCTTCATTCCTGATTGCTAAATCCTGATGGCGAGTCTTCCCTTGCTCCGCCAAAACTTGGGCCGCGGTCTAGTCACCACACGTTGAATGTCACTGCGAGCGTTGGTACTACATACATATGGTAACGGTCCATCGTCGTGGATCTGCCACCACGAATTGGGATGAGATTTGACTCGGCATGGCTCCGGCTTGGCAATATCTCGAGTTTGCAACCACGCCAGTAGTCGAGTGCGCAACACGTCGAGCGCAGTCAAACACATACCCCTACGAGGGCAAGCTATGTTCGATGTATCCCTGTTATGGTGTCTCGGTCGATGATGCTTGGACCCCTCTCGGGTTTCCCTTGGAAAGCAGGCCGACGAGATCCAGGGAAGAAGGGCGCGACGGGGGCAGATCAACCAAACATGCAGCACATCCATCCTCTGCACACATCCCGTCCGTCCAGCCCATCACGCTGCCGCCACGATGACGACGGCCATCCATTCGGCCTGTCCGAACGTTCCGCGAACGCCATTGGCTGGAAAAGTGCCGAATCTCGGCCTCGTCGCATGTGGCTCGTGAGACAGTCGAGATTGCGCCACATCGACATGTCGCACTGGCGACACCACTTTCTTGGCAGATCGGCCGCTTCATTTTCAAACTCACTCGGTCTACCACACACACGATGGGGATCCTCGGAGCGAAGCGCGAAGCCCAACTCAAAGCTGGCATCGAGCAGTGGCTGCTCAAGAGGACCGACGACGACGTCCCGGAGCTCAAGCACATCAAAGAGATCCTCAAGTCCCACGACACGCAACACCACGTGCTCCCGCTTGCGTTTCACAAACACATCAAGCCACCGGTGAAGCCACCCCAGCGATTGCTCTTCAAGGATGAAATCGTGGCGGGGAAGCGTGTGCCGTTCACCAAGGCGCTGGCCGTCAAGGGCCGCAAGCGCATGGACGTGATCCACGAGTCGGAAGACTTTAACAAGGAGACGCGCCAAGCGGCGTACTCGACCCAACTGCTGCTCCGTTAACCAGCCAGTCTCGAGCTATTTACAAATCAATATTTATCTCCACTTATTATCTATGAATCCCATCGTGCTTTTCCACTTGCAGGGAGCGCCCAGCATCGTCGCCCATCTTGCGCTCGAGTGCACTGAGCCCCGTGGCACGCACCTTGCCGTCGTCTTTGGTCGAAATCGAAAACAACCAAGCATGGCGCTCGCTGCTACTATGAATGAAATGAAATCGCAGAATCATGGCCGATCTCACTTTGTGCTTTCTGTGTTCCTATCTACTTGCAGAGTGGGGGCAGTTCAAAGTGGAAGAGCTCTCGGAGAAGCTGTCAGCGGTCCGCTGCAGACGTCAGGACTCGATGTCTTTGCCGGATTCAAATGCGGATGAAAGTCATATCTTGCAGCGTCAATGTGCCCGCTTTCGTTCATTTGACACACGTTGTGGCTCGCGTGAATCGACTGTGGGGGCTGGTCGACACATACCAATGAGGGGCGAGGTAGGCAGCGTGGCCCGTAGCTGGTGTGGAGAGATTCGGCTGCGAGGTGGGTCTTGTAGTGGACAGCCCAGAAAGAGCTCGAGGGGGAGGACGTGGGCACCAGTGGAAGCAGCCAGTCGTCATCTCGACGGGCTCGAGTGGCGTACGAGATCTCACACGCGCCAGTTTGTACATCTCGCCACCAATTGTGGGAACGACATTTCCTTCAATCAACGGCTGCGGCGGTTGCCCTCGACCACCAAACCCCACGTCGCGTCATCTTGCCATCGCACAAGCAGCATCATGTGGCTCAATCCGGTCAGGCAATGTCCTGTCGGGCCATTCGGTTGTGACTACGGAGGAACGACGACGCGAGCGGCGAGTGCGTCCACGGTGAGGCGAAACTCGCCCCACGCCATAGCGAACACGGCGTTTTGCTCAAGACAGTAGCCTCCACGCTTGCCTTTGACGAGCTTCTGAAAGATCCTGTCGGCATCGAGCGAGACACGTTCGGCGGCAACGTCGTGCACGTGAACTGGATCGACAGGAAGTACTCTACTCACGGCGAGGTTTTCGAATGGCAACCCGATGGTGATCGTCAATACTGCACAAGCATGGCACATACGAATGTGCACTTGGACCGCCGACGTCGGACGTACTGAGCGCAATGCGCTCGAGAAATGCCGGTCGGTCGAATCTCATCGCCGCTCTCTGTGCCACACCCAGTGTCAATGGGATATCAACCGGATATCGAACCCGCTTATCCAGACATTCACCCGCCATCTCGATCGCTTGCAGTCGATAAAGGTGCTGAGTGCACCAGGTCCAGGAGCAACCGAGCAGCCCCCCGCGGGCGCACGCTCGGGCACTGAGAAAAGGCATGTCAGGAGCAGGTTCAATTGCCGCCGTACATGTAGCGGGGTGATATGCACAAATATATCTGTACGCTGCGCATCGCGCTGAAATAGCCACGGGCAACGATGGCCAGTTGTTGGCAAACCCAGACGGCAACCCGGTCGTTCTGCCCACCCACACATTGCTACGTACGCCATGAAGCTATTGGGGATTCAGAGGGGGGAGGTGAATTCAATAGGTGTATCAAGACGTTTTCGCTGCCACCTGACACTGACCCATCCCTCGATGGACAGACATGACCCGCCACTGCCACGGCGAACGTGGGTGGTCGTTGGCATGCGATAGGCGGGGATCCCTGCCTGCGACAGACCACTAACACGCAAACGCCGCGACGAGGCAATCGCCCTGTTGTTTGCCCACCCAATCCCCCGTGGTCGAATTCCTCAATATCTCTGTCACGTCGGGTGACGTGGTTGGCTTGCACACGCTACGTCGAATTCCTTTGCCGTCCTTGGCCCGTTGTAGCCATGCAAGCAGCGTAATGTGTGGCGCACGACGCCATGTGGCGTGGTGCGTCTCATTGTGGAGCGCGAACGGAAACGAATGGCAACTCGAGCATCAGGCTGGCATCTGCCGCTCACTTTTCCATTTCGCGCGGCCACCACGACGATGGGGGCCCCCGTTCATGTGAAGCAGCCCTTAGTCAAGGGCATGGACAAGGGGATGAAAACGCCAGCAAACGACGCCCCGTTCGCGGACAAAATTAAACAGATCAAGGACATCTTGAAGGACCATGACACGCAGAACCACCTCTTGCCTCTCAAGTTTCACCGCCACATCAAACCCCCCGTCCATCCCCCGGCACGCCACTTGGTCGAAAAGGAAGTCGTCGCTGGGAAGAAAGTCCCGTTCAGCAAAGTCATGGCAAAACGCGTCCAAAAAGAAATTCAAACCAAGGCACAGGACGAAGCGATGGCACTGAGGACGATCTATGAAACGAAGGAATACGATCCCACGCGGACGGTGCAGCAGTATGTGCCGTCGGTCTTCCTCCTCAAGTAAACCCGCGCTTTTTTCATAATCGACCTGCATTGTCGTCGCAGCAGCTTCCTCCTGATGGAACTCCTAACATATTTACTACTCAACTATTCCATGTCGCTCCACTTGCTCGCCAACGTGTCACGATGGGGGCTCGGCGGGCCACCCTCTTGAGTGTGCCCCGACCGCTCTTCCCATCGCCCTTGTGCCCCTTCCCCCACATACAACTCTTCCCGAAGCGTAGGTACGCCAAACAACATGAATATCTCGCTCGGCCACATCCATGTCATCCAACCTGGCGCCACTCCACGATGACAAATTCATCACCCACTTCGTAAACGTCGAACAGGCGCCAGAGATTCGGCGCGACGTTCCAAGCAGCCACCAAAATCATTGGAGCAATCTGATTGGCTGTCGTGGTTCATCCGGATGTCTCGTCGCATCTTTGACGTTTGGCACATCTGCATGACGTGAACCACGACATCGACAGCCCGGCACTTCATTTTCAAACTCACTCGGTCTACCACACACACGATGGGGATCCTCGGAGCGAAGCGCGAAGCCCAACTCAAAGCTGGCATCGAGCAGTGGCTGCTCAAGAGGACCGACGACGACGTCCCGGAG